ACCAGCCTGAGCCCTCCCAACACCACCGCCACCACTCTCTCTCCCAACCACTTCTGTTGTCCTTCCTCTATCCACATCCTCAATGCCGCTCCCCTCAACATCACTCCGGCTTTCCTCCCATGAACAAGTGCTACCTGTTCCTCCTCCTCACCCAACCACACCACTCCATCTTCTTCTGCTGTTAGTTCCGTCATCAACACCACTTCCCATTTTCTTTGTTGACTCCTTCTGCCACTATCCTCAACCTCTTTCTATACGTTTCTCTCACACTCAATCTCCTCACATTCCATGTGACTATCACTCGTTCTCCATTCTTACCTCGGGCTTTAGTTCTGTTTCCCCCTTCCCTTCCCACCCTTCCTTTCCTCCTGTCTCCCCTTCTTTCATTTCTCTCTCTTCTTTTATCGTTTCTGCTCCTTACTCCCCTCCTACTGCTGGGGCGTGGATGTGGGTGAATCCCCACCAGGCTGTCTTTCACCCATCCACCCACATGTCTTTTGTCCATCCCGACTTGCTTGCGCTTCCTTCTCACCATCCTGACCCCACCCCCCGGGGAACCTTCTCGGTCCCACCTCGTTGCGCCACGTGAGGGTCCTGAAAGGGCCCTCGCCTCACTTTTGTTGCAGGAGGGTTGTGGGGCGGCTACTCCCATTTCCCTCCGTTCCGGCGGGGCGAGTGTTGGGTGTCTCTCCTTCCGTTGAGGTCACTCCTCCTTCCTCGTCGGCTGGTGGGCATTCAGCTGCAGCAGGGGCTCTAGAGCCCTGGCGTCCCCCCTCGCGCCACTTGGAGGCATCCCACCATGCGAGGGCACTTCTGCCACTTCATCAAGGGTGTTCGCGTCATCGTCTTCACTGACCACAAGCCACTGCTCTCCACCATTCCATCAGCCTCCATGAACTACCTGGAGCGAGAGATCCGGCACCTTGACTACCTCTCCTAATTCGATGAATCCCAGTGGTGGCCACGTAGGAAACAAGTGTCCGGATGTTGGTCTGGTGACAGGCATTGTCGATGACTTCCAAGGGCTCTTTTCGGAACGTAACATCTCCAAACCTTTATGGCACCTTTGCTTAAACTTTGTTGGATTGTGTTGTGTAGTCAGGGAGAGATGGAAAGGGTGCTTCCTTTGGAATTTAGGAAAGGAGAGTGTGCTTTCAGATAACTTTGACTCCGCTTTTCTGAACTGACGTCATCGCATGACAATGAGTATAGCTGACATAAGTCTCTTGCTTGCGGACTTTTTCTGCAAAATATTACCTTAATAATGACATGAATAAGAACTTATTCAAAAAACTCCTCTAGAACGAAACCTACATGGGCGAAAATACCCCCTTATATGAAAAAAACTTCATGCATTAACATAATTCCCATTCTCCTGCCCCCCATACGACGAAAAACCTCCTGTTGCGTTATACGAAATCATTTTCTCTGCTCCAGCCTCGCGAAGACATTCACTACAACGAAGTCTTATCCAACAGCGACCTCTACTGCTTCGTTCGAAAAAAGGCAACAGCAACCACCATACTGGTTTCCATAGTGAACGATGTTTATTTCGGTCACAGCTGCGAGTTTCCTGGACTCAACATACTCATAGCTGCTCTCCCATTGGCTTACCGACCATCATCCTGGCCTCCGATTGGCCAAGAGGGACCTCACTGTCTATGTGTGTAGATACTGAAGCTAGATCCGTAGCATCTGATTAGCTGTTCAGAGTAAATTGCTTATGGCTCGACGGACATTCAAATAAACGAACGTTTCCTCAAATGCTTTACTTGTTATCATGCTAAAAACACCCACGGGATGCTTCGTAGTCCTCAATGGCCATAGTTCGCGATCGAAGGCTAAAAACCTTACGTTAACTGGAGCGCTAATGAGAGAGACGCGCTCCAGTTAGCGTAAGGTTTTTAGCCTTCGAGAGCGAACTATGGCCATCGAGGATTACAAAGCGTCCCGTGGCTGGCTTAAAAGTTCATTGCATGCCAGGAAGTATTTGTTATTGTTAGATTCAGACGAGGATGGACGTTGCATTGCTAAAATGGCTACAAAACGGACATTTGGATGTCAAGCAGCTAAGACAAGAAGAGCTCTGAAGCTGGAAGAGAGGGTAAAAGTGACCAAAATGAACGACGGAGCAAGCAAAATAAAAGACATTATCCAAGAAATTGATATAAGTGAAAGTGAATGCTGATCGTAAATTTCGCAATTTCTTTCCCTTTTTTTTCTTTCTACACTGACAATATGTAGTGTCAAATAAGCGTGTGCTCATACTTATGCACTATTGGAATAAAAATAGAGTACACCCACGTTTGTGTGTGCGTGTACACATACGTTTGTGTGTGTGTGTGTGCGTGTGTGTGTGTGTGTGTGTGTGTGTGTGTGAGTGTGTGTGCTTACATCTGAGATCAAATTTGCTACAGTGAAAAAAACCCTGTGGTTGATTGTTTTTTTTTTTTTAATTCCTGTAGGTGACACTGCTGAGCCATTTTGTTTTCACTAGGGTCCATGAGTGTGCAAAGTTTGGTGAATTTCTGTGCATGTTTAGGTCCCCCAAAATGCTATATTTTTTGTGTGAATAATAACAATTAGAATGGGTGGCATGGTAGCCAACTGGTTAGCACGTGCGCCTCACAGTGCATCGGTCCCTCGTTTGATTCCAGGTTCTGGCCTTCCTGTGTGAAGTTTGTATGTTCTCGAACTGTGGGTTTTCTCCGGGTTGTCCAGTTTCCTCTCACATTCCAAAAACATGCATGGTAGATTGATGGAACACTCTAAATTGTCCCTAGGTGTGAGTGTGAGCACGGATGGTTGTTTGTGTGTGTGTGCCCTTGTCACGTTTCGGACGAACTGAATAAAGTTGGACTCCCTCAATGCTTCTTGTTCCGTGTGGGAAACTTGATACAGGCGAGAACTCGGAAGAGGGGCGTTAGCGAGCAAGTCGATGGCACAATCGTACGGACGGTGTGGCGGCAAGGACTGAGCGCGGTCTTCACTAAACACTTGTCGCAAATCATGGTAGATGCTTGGGACTTTATCTAAACAAATGGATTCAGGCGGATCATTACGAGGAAGCCGTCTACCCCCTGCAGCAGACTGCAAACAGTGAGCATAGCAAAACGGACTCCAATTCTCAATCGCAGAACGTTCCCATGTGATGACCGGATTATGTGTTTTTAGCCATGGTAACCCCAGGATTAATGGTACGGATCGGGACCGCATCAGATAAAACTTCCTACATTCGACGTGATTGCCTGACAACCTCAACATTAAAGGGCCTGTGATCTGTTTCACCTCCGCCAGGAGTCGCCCATCAAGATCGTGAACCCTTTTGACCTCATTTAACTCCTCTACCGGACAACCCAGTTCGTTAGCCATTTTGGTGTCAATGAAGCAACCGTCCGCCCCCGAATCCACCAATGCCCGAACCGGAAGAGCCAGTGATTGACCATAAATAGTACCGTCCAGCTCTCGTCTCCTGGGAAGTCCCGACCTGGACTCCTCCGGACCCAAACGTCCTCCTACCAGCTGCATAGGCTCCCCTTCTGCGACGACAGCCCCGGTACCGGTGTGATGCTCTGGTCCGGACGACCGCGAGGACTCATGGGAAGCAGGCCGGCCTCCAGCATGTCGGGGCTGGAAACGAATATGACCCCCTTCGCTTCCGCATTCCCGCTCTCTTTCCCGCATACGATTGTCCAGTAAGAGTGCCAGGTTGAATTCCTCCAAGGTAGTGCTGTCATCGTGGGTAGCCAGTTCATCTTTCAAGGATGAATTTAAACCGCGACGAAACAATCCACAAAGGGCGCGGTCTCCATTACCACTTTGGGCAGCCAAAATACGAAAGGAAATAGAGTAGTCGGTCACTGATTGCTTTCCTTGCCGATAATCTAATAACCGACCTTCGGCCTCTCTTCCCATATCCGGCTGGTGGAAGACCCGACGAAACTCTGCCACGAAATCAGGGAAGGAAGACCGAAGCCCGGGTTTGGCATTGCTCACTTCCAACGCCCATGACGCCGCCTGACTAGTCAACAGACTCATTACAAATGCCACCTTGGTTTTATCCTTTGCATAGGTGGATGGTTGTTGGTCGAACACCAACGAACATTGGTGAAGAAATTGTCCACCCAGCCCAGGTTCACCACCATAACGCGGTGGGTGTGGAATATTTGGTTCCCACTCCACGGTCAGGGGGGATGGTACTCCTGTGGCAGCGTTTTGCTCCACCCGTGAACCCAAATTCTCGAGCTGTTGAGACAGCAGGGAGATCGCTCCCCAGAGTTCCGCGAGAGCTTGTTCCTGCTGACCCACCAGTTGTCTGATCAAGGCGGTCATAATCTTGTTGGTGTTTACAGGATCCATGTTGGTCGGAGTATTCTGTCACATTTCGGACGAACCGAATAAAGTTGGGATCCCAAAAGTGACAGACAAGGTCTCCATAGCAAAAAGGTTTTAATATACAAAAATCGTACCGACAAAGAAGTAACATTAAGTGCTGGTCAAAACAAGGAACAGAGGGCACAAAAATGAATAACAAAAAGCGCTTGCACAAAAGGCAAGGGAGGAAAATAAGAACCGAGAAGACAAACAAAATAACAGCGCATCAAATAAACGCAAGCGAAAGCCAAATCACAAAACAAAAACCATACTTACAAAACCATTGGTACCAAGAGTTCAAAAAGCGAAAAACGACGAGGTCGATAGCAAAACAGTCTATGAGCAAGGAAGCAGCAAGGCAAAAACAATACTCCGACAACCATCTGACAGATTGCGGGTCCTTAAATACATAGTTCCTTAATGAAAGATTGGCAGCAGGTGTGCAGCCAGAAAGTCCGCTCAGTCTGCCACCTGCTGGCCAGGCCAAGAATAGGAACATGACAGCTCTTCCATTCGCTAGCACCCATTTTAGGGTGTACCCGCCTACTGGCCAAAAGACAGCTGGAATAGGCTCTTATTGGATTAGGAAAATGGATCTGGAATAAACCCATTTATTGTCACTGGTACAGTATTTGACATAATAATTTAATGTAGCATTAGGTTAAGATGCAAGAAGCGAGTGTACATCAATCACTTTGCTTTTCACAACTACAAGGAACGTGCAAAACGGCAGAAGAAACCAGAGAAACTTTTTTTTTGTTTTGCTGTGATTTATATAAGTACACGAAAAAAGAGATAAGTAGAATGTGAGCAAACATTTTATGACAATAAATCAAGCAGGGTTAGAAATTGTTTGCTGGGTTTCGTTAAAGGTACATTCTGCAGTCATAAAGAAGGTTCACCCGACGAATGTCAATGGGGCTCATTCTGGTTGCCTGACCAATGACTGCATCCCCGTTCGGGATCGGGATTATTGTTGGTTGTCCATTCTTGGAAAAGGCAAACCTGTTACAAACATGCACAAAAATATTTGTTATTCATGTTGGCTCACATCTTTGAAACATAGAGAAGTTATTTCGCGTTAAAGTTTGGTGATCTGTCTGGCTGTCTGTCTACTACTGACTGAGCGATTTTTTTTTCCATCCTTCTGTTTGCTTCCTACGTCAAATTTATCCTGCACTAGTGAGATGTTTTTTAATAATCTGTTTAATGTTATATTTAATGTCTCAATACGGAAGTACTTTATGACCAGATCTGTGTAAAGCCCTTTATTTGTGGATTACCTTCCATAGTGCATGACAGAGGTGTAATCATAGGGAGTGCCAAGATTTCTTGTATTCAGCCTTCTGAAATTGCTCTCCATTCCTGTAGGAAATTGTTGCATGTTAATTTATTGTTCATTCTGCACGTTTTTAGACAAACTTCAGGCCTTTGTTGTAAAGCAACAATATACTTTGAAGGGGTGCTGGGGGGGGTGTATGAGGGTTTAACTTAATCCTACCAGAAATGACATTTTGAAAGAGGATTCTGACATGCCGGTCCCTGTCAGATCGAGTCTGTTCATGATTGAATCCCAGAGCGTGGAGCAATTCGTGTTGGATAACCTGTCGGAAAACACAGCCCTGGCGACTCAAAGACACGACTTGACCACGACCACGACGTCCAACAAATGAATAACATCTGCAAGAGAACAAAGAATAACAAAACTTTATTAAAAAAATAAATAAACAAAACACCTCCATCCAGTGCTCATAAGACCTTTTTTTTTTTATAATGGTGTTGCTCAAGTTTTGATCAGAAACTGAATTAGGGGCTCACCCTCCTACAAATTCCTCTGCATCTTCTCAAAAACTCATACTAATACACTATCCAACAAACCGACATTTAAGATTCGATATTGGTCAAGTAACACAAGTTTTGATACATTTCCCAGATCAGATTTGAAATAATCACAAGTACTTGTACAATCTTCATCTATTTATGTCACTTGTACACAACAAAAAAGCAGTCTCTCGTTTATTTGAGAGAGTTGCAATTGCTTTGGCACACTCATGAAAGTGAGTATTTATAATTCTCAGCGGTTTCCCAAACAACTGCATGATCAATTGCTTGAGTCATGTTGATGAAAAACTGCGATTGGCTGGCAACCAGTTCAGGGTGGCAGAGGAGGGCCTCCCCTGCTGCCAATGTTTCATCAATTAAGCCATGTATTAAAGGACTCCATTATTGCAAAATCTTCATTGGATTATTGACCTTGTTTGCTGCTCATGCTAAAGTGTTGTTTTGCAGACCTCTCGATTTTGTCATTGTCATTTTTGCTCTCTAGTACCTAATTTTTAAGTATTGATATTATTTTTTTCTTGTTCGTGCTCTTGTTTGTTTTCGTGTTCTTGGACTCTCGTCATTTTGTTTATACTCTTGGCCGACTATTATTACCTTGCCTTTTGCAAGCACTTTTTGTTAATACCTGTTTCTCCTGGCTCCTTGTGACGAGCGATTTCTGTTTGTACTTTGTCAGCGTGCAATTATGAATAAATATTTTTTGTAATAGATTTTGTTTGACTATGTTTGTGGGATCACACACTTTCTCGAATTGCTATTTAAAAGGTTGTGTGTATGAAACACTGCAGAAATGCAAATATCTGGTGCACCGTCTAAGTATTTCAAACAGAATTGGCTTTATTTAGGTCGTTTCTGTCTCGTAGGACCTTCATCAGCTTTTAATCCTAATGAAGGTCCAGTGAGACCGAACCTTCAGATATGTAAATAAAGCCAATTATTTTTATGATACAAGACATTACAGGATTTTTTTTTTTTGTTTTATTTTATTTTTTGCAAAAGTTTGCAATGCCAAAATAACATCAATATCAATATCAGCATCTGGCTTCATCCTCACAAGCGTCGTGGAGGATGCTGGAGCCTATCTCAGCTGTCTTTGGGCAGCAGGCAGGGGACACCCTGAATCGGTTGCCAGCAGATCGCAGGGCACACACACGACGAACAACCATCCATGTTCACACTCACACCTAGGGACAATTTCGCGGGTTCCATTAAACTACCATGCATGTTTTTGGAATGTGGGAGGAAACCTGGAGTACCCGGAGAAAAACCACGCAGGTACGGGGGGAACATGCAAACTCCACACAGGGAGGCTGCAGCTGAAATCAAACCGGGTACCTCTGCACTGCGCGGTTGACGCGCTAACCACTGGAACACTGAGCCGCCCAAGCTAGCCAGCAGTCGGATTGCACCACTTGCCCGACATGAATATCAATATTTGGGTGAAATTTCAAAGAAGGTCTATTGAAGTAATGTCAAAATTACAAGAAATAATATCATTATTTAACATCTATCAAATGGATGGGACTGAGGCTGATTCATGTTTTTGACCAAATTATGACGATTTCACATTCGTGTTTGATGTCACATTGATGTTGAATTGACATCAGATGCCCACGAGAGTAGCAAGAATGCAGTGCAATGTCGATGTCACTACATGATTAGTCTTCCAAATACGCAAATGTGTAACTTTCAATTTCGGAAAATAGTCATCTAAACCTGAGCCAAATTCCATATCGGAACATTCCTCCAGAGTACACTTTTATATGGACAACATGACTAATCTTTGATGTCCACAAGAACATAAGATAAGATAAGAAAACCTTTATTTGTCTCACAATGAAGAAATTTGCAATCTGCAGCAGCAAATTTTGGAGGGAAGAAAGTAGATTTTTTTTTTTTTTTAAACGAAGTATTTGCATACACAAAATAAATGTTGAAAAACATGAACTGTACACAGTACACTACAGAATGCAATATAAAATATAAGATTTAAGCAGGTGATTCTCGAGGTGATTCTGCAGGCACCAGTCCACAAAGTCCTCCGTCAGTCCCCTACACTCCCGATCATCTCCTTCTGTTATGAGGCCTACGATCGTGGATTCGTCAGAGAACTTCTGAAGGTGGCAGGTTGGACCGGGGGTCGGCTACCCAAAATGTTGAAAGAGCCATATAGGACAAAAAAAACAAAAAACAAATATGTCTGGAGCCGCAAAAAAAATAAAAGCCTTCTATAAAACTTACAATGAAGGAAACACATGCTGTATGTATGTAGGACACTATACTGTCTCAGAATTGTTTGTTATTCATTCCTTTGTTGTGTGTTCACAAACGCCCCCATAGAATTTATTTTGTAATTTCCTCGCTTGATTTTTTGTTTTGTTGCATTATTTTTGCTTTTCTTAGTGTCAGTGAAGTGATCATTAATTTCAGTTTTTCTGAGGCTGTCTTTGAACGCCTCTCGAGTCGAACGAGAAGAGAGAAGGCACAGAGTCGGACGCAGACGTGTCTGTGTTTGCGAGACTGTTAAAAGCATAAAGAAAGTGTGCGTTTTTAAAAACCAACACCACAGCTCTCCTTTTTCGGAGCTACAACATGTATCTACAGGCGCTCCCCGCTTTACAAACTTTCGTGTTGCGAACAACGGTACATACGAACATTTTTGCGGGTACAGGTATGTCGAAAAATGTTCTCGGACAGAGATGCTGTCAGTCAGATTTTGTATTGCGCGCCTTTTTCCGAGTACTGTAGTACTTCATTCCGCCGCTAATACCGACGTGAGGCCCTGTGAGAGGAGGAGGAGGAGGAAACGCTTGTCCCCATGAAGAAGTTCGAGACGGAACTCTCTCCCCCTCCATCATCTCCTTAAGCCTTCGAGTACATCTTCCAAAAGTCTGTTAAACTTCATTTTATTTCACAACGCCTCTTGAGTTGAACGAGAAGAGAGAAGGCACGGAGTCGGACACAGACGTGTCTGTGTTTGTCGAGACTGTAAAAAGCATAAATAAAGTGTACGTTTAAAAAAAAAACAACACCACACCTCTCCTTTTTCGGAGCTGCAGTGCGTCTGTATATGGATTTGAGCTATATTAGCCTACTATCAAAATATTTTTCCATTTTCAAACATTTTTCCTTAAAGCTCCAGGAAGCCACTAGATGTCGCTAAAGAGCCACATGTTGCCGACCCCCGGGTTGGAGTGATGTAGCTGAAGTCCGAGGTGTAGAGAATGAACAGGAATGGAGCCAGGACAGTCCCCTGCGGCGCCCCGGTACTGCAGAGAATCCTGTCCGACTCACAGCTCTGTGCCCTCATGTACTGTGGCCGGTTTGTGAGGTAATCTGTCATCCATGATATGAGGTGGTGGTCCACTCCGGCGTGCTGCAGTTTGTCCCCCAGTAGGTTAGGCTGGATGGTGTTGAAGGCACTGGAGAAATCAGAGAACATGATCCTCACAGTGCTCCCAGCCTTCTCCATGTGTAACAGCGTCCTCCACGCCGATGCCATGCTGGTAGGCAAACTGCAGCGGGTCCATTGACGAGCTTACCAGCAGTCTCGGGTAGGCGAGGACGAGTCTCTCCAGGGTCTTCATCAGGTGAGACGTCAGCGCCACCATCTGTAGCTGTTGAGCTCCTTCTGGTTTGGGCTCTTGGGCACTGGGACCAGGCACGAAGTTTTCCACAGCTGTGGAACTCTGCCCAGCTTCAGGCTCAGGTTGAACATGTGCTGGACAATGTCACACAGCTGGTCAGAGCGGGTCCAGAGGAGCCGGGAAGTGATGTTGTCCGGACCTGCTGCCTTCCTCACCTTCATCTTCCTCAGTTGTTTCCTCACCAGACTTGGGGTTAGAGGTGTGGTGTTGGTTGAGAGGGCAGTTGTTTGGTGTTGGAAGCTGGTCGTGAGAGGGGGGGAGGAGGGGAGGTCCATAGTGAGGGGCAGTAGTGAGTGCAGCTGCAGAGGGTGCTGGTGGTTGGGGGGAGGGACAGATGTCTGGTCGAAACGGTTGAAAAAACGGTTTAGTTCATCTGCCCAGTCCTTGTCCCTGTCAGTCACTGTCTTTGGGCTTTTGTGGCCTGAGATCGTTTTCAGGCCCCTCCAGACACCAGTGACATGACTGGCCTGTATCTGGTCCTCCATTTTCACCCTGTAGGCCTTTCCCCCCTCTCTGATCCTTCTCCTCAGCTGAATCTGCACAGTCTTCAGCTCCTCTCTGTTTCTCAACACAAAAGCACTCTTCTTCAGGAGGGACTTTATGTCGGGAGTAATCCACGGTTTGTTGTTGGAAAAACACCGCACAGTCATGGTGGGTATGGTGTTCCCTTCACAAAAGTTTTTGTCATCCGTGATGGTGTCAGTGGGTGAATCAATGTCCTCCCCATGAACCTCACTGAAGAGCTCCCACCTGGTTGAGTCAAAGCAGCCTCTTCAGCCTCCGTGAACCATCCTCTGAGCATGCGGGTCACAGCTGGCTGACTGTGTACCAGGGGTTTGTACACAGGCTGGAGATGCACCATGTTGTAGTCCGCTCTTCCAAGAGGTGGGAGGGGGTGGTGTTGGCATAAAACAAGTCAAAAATGTTATTGTCTCTGGTGGCACAGGTTACATACTGGGTGAAGGTTGGTAGGGAGGATGACAGAGAGACATGGTTAAGGTCCCCAGAAATTATCAGCAGGGCGTCGGGGCTCTGTGTTTGCAGCCTGTTCACTACAGACATAATGGCATCACCCGCTGCATCGCCATTCGCCGACGGGGGACCATAAACAGTCACAGCTATGACATGCGTAAATTCTCTCGGGAGGTAGTGCGGCCTGAGGCTAATGGCTAGCAGCTCAATGTCCCGGCTTCAGAGTTTCTCTCTGATAGTGATGTGCCCAGGATTACACCATCTGTCATTCACAAACACAGCCAGTCGCCCTCCTTTTTCTCTTACCACTCCCTGCATCACGGGTTTTCGTCTTTCGCGGGTGGTCCCGGTCCCCATTAACCGCGATAAGTGAGGGATCACTGTAATCGCTGTTTGTCATGACTCAGTGAGTAGCAGCAGGCTAGCCGCACAGTACTCCTTCTGATGCCGGGTTAGCGCCGGTAGCTCGTCCATCTTGTTAGGGCGCAATCTTACATTCCCCATGATGACGGACTGGAGGACATGTTTGTATCTTCTCCTCCTTCTGTGGCGTTCCTTGCCCGACACCCCTGTTTCGTCCTCTTCAACTCACAGGGAATGTCTGGTTTGTCACCGGCCAGTAGCCCGCTGTTAGCCCGCCAAGCTAACAGCTGGTCCTTACTGTTAACCAGGGGTGCCCATTACGTGGATTGGATCGACCGGTAGATCATGGACTGGTCGATCACGAGGGGTGTAGAGGAGGAAAAAAAAAAAAAAAAGAACCATTTGTGTGTCTTTGTGTATGTTAGTAATATTTTTTTTGTGTTTATGTACACTGCACCCGAATCATCCTATCAGTCTCATTTTCACAAGAAGTATTTAAAAAATAAAATAAAATAAAGCAGGTAATCTTTAACCTATGGTGGCGCATTACCTGCGTCACCGGAAGTTGTTAGTGCTCAGCAGTCTGCAATTGCATCTTGCGATCAGAGCTGTTGCACTATAACTTTTGTCGTTATCATTATTCTCATCCAGAGTTTGTTTCGTGTACAATTCACTGAGGGCACAAGCAAAGAATAGGAATCTAGAGGCTCTGAGGGTTGCACTCCACAGTAAACGTAAAAAAGTAAAAGAAAATAATGGAGATGATCAGAAATGAAGATGCCCATCTCCCCCTCATAGGATTGGGGTACAAAACCACACAAAACAAAATAGGAAGACGAAATAAATAAAATAAAAAGACGAAAAGAAACTCACACAGGGATATGCGCTGCTGTCTGTCACTCACACGGCGCCATCTTGTATGATGGCGCCGCAATGATTCATATTTGTCACTAACATACACTAGCATTGGCTTTAGCAGGAATCCATTGTCTTTTATTAGTGTAAGGAATTGTTTTGAGACATGCACTTACTGTTTTCAAGCAAGGGTGATTATTCAAGAAAAACGACTGAGAAAAATAACAAATTAAAGTCTTTGTCCACCAGTAAACTGACTGGTATTCCACTCATCATGCAGCAAGGCAATGTCCCGAAACCTCCTGCCAAATCAACAATCCGCTTGCATTTGACCTGCTAAAGACGAGACTGATGAGGCCAACTCCTGAAAAAGCATCTCAATAGAAGGATGCAAAGCTTTGGTTCTCAATGGATAGTCAGCTTGATGCAGTATTGTGCATAAGTGATTCTGAAGTCATATTTTGTTAGTTCTGTCTGTCTTAGTGGTTTTGCTCACCCCAAAAATGTATAATTTTAAAAGAAATATTGCTATTTTCTTCAGCTGTATGTCAAATCCTGATGACCTTGGAATAAAAGATTAATTTTTGATTATTTTTTTTACAATCTTCTTTTGATTATTTTTAAATCTGGAGCCAAAATAAAGAAATTGGCCTCACTGTTGAAATATCTTTGAATGGGAGTCGATCTTTCATGAAATATTCATATATTCGTTTGCAGCACTTGGGCATTGCCGGTTGCGCTCTAGAGTGGTTTAGGTCCTATTTAGCTGACAGAACCTTTTGTGTTAGCCTTGGCTGCTCTGAGTTACGTACTGCCAAACTGTCATGTGGTGTTCCACAGGGCTCAATTCTGGGGCCTCTGCTGTTCTCATTGTACCTTCTCCCATTGGGTACCATCTTAAGGAAACATGGTATTTCCTTCCACTGTTATCCAGATGACTGTCAGATCTATGTCCCACCGAGCAAAAAAGACACTTTCTCATTAAGCCCCCTTTTATCCTGCCTGGAGGAAATCAAAACCCGGATGGCACAACACTTCTTGAATTTCAATGAAAAGAAGACAGAAGTGCTAGTATTTGATCCCAGTGGCCCTTGTACATCCCATCCTGTAGACTTGGGCCCCCTGTCTCCTTATCTTAAGTCAACAGTCTCAAACTCGGGTCTTAAAAAAGACAGTGACTTTAAAATTGACCGGCAAATTGGTGCCGTTGTTAAATTCAGCTTCTTTCATCTTAGACAGCTGGCTAAAGTAAAGCCTCTCCTTTCTCATGAACACCTTGAGACAGTAATTCATGCCTTCGTCACATCCCGGCTCGATTACTGCAATGCACTTTACTTTGGAGTCAGTCAATCCTCCATTAAGCGTCTCCAGCTGGTCCAGAATGCTGCTGCTCACCTCTTGACTGGTACTCGTAAGAGGGAGCACATAACTCCTACTTTGGCATCCCTTCAGTGGCTCCCGATACATTTTCTTTTTTAGATTCTATAATTTGTTTTCAAATCTTTAAATGGCCTTGTGCCACCTTACCTCTCTGAACTCATCCGCCCCTACACACCTGCCGCCTCAGGTCTGCGGACCAGACATTATTAGACGTACCAAGAACTAAGCGGAGGCTCAGAGGGGATCAAGTCTTTTCCGTTGCTGGTCCCTCTCTTTGGAATGACCTCCCATTGAGCATTCGGCAAGCCCCCTCGCTGCCCATCTTTAAAACTTATCTCAAAACTCCTTTGTCATCTATGGCATTTGACATGGCATGACTCAGACTTGATCTTAGTCTTACTGTTTGGTGCTTTTTACTGTCTTTGTTGTTAATTTGTTGTTTTATTGTTGTATATATAATATTTGCTCACTTTATACAGCACTTTGTATACAGCGATGGTTGTTTTAAAGTGCTCTATAAATACAGTTGAGTTGAGTTGAGAACAGGTGAGTGAGAGGTTTGTGTTTTTCTTACCCTGAGAGGGACTGGATGTCCACAAAGTCCCTCTGGCCATTCAGTGGGGTGAAGCGAACGCAAGTGGAAGCCGCAAAGGATCGCAGACCATTAATTATGGTCTGTCTTTCTCGGCCAGCTTGATAAGAGACAAAAAGAGATGCATTGTTTTTAATTTTAAATGTAGAAAAGGATAAAGGACATGATGTCTATGGAAAGGTTTTGGCAAACAAGGAGGTACAATCAAGGACATTTGTTCTAAATGATCGGCAGCTCGCAAATGTGTTGCTCTATACTGCAGCACGTCTCATTTTAAAAATCAGGCATTAGGCGGGGCCCTGTACTGGTTGCCAGCCAATCACAGAAATCATACAAACTCCACACAGATCAGTTTGTTTGTATGAATTGCATGAACTAATTGTCCGTTAATTTGAAAAAACCTGAAAATCTGTGAGTAAGTGTCAATATAGATGTCACGATGCGAGGTGGTGGTGAATCCCAAAAAAGCAGGCAGGAGGGAGGAGCAGGTTGTACTTGAAGAAGTGTATTAAAACAGAGAAAACTAAATCCAAAACAAACATAGTCCAAAGTAGCAAACAAAAATCATAACTGAAGCTAAAACAGAATCATGACCAAAACAAACGTGACAGCAGCAGAGAAACGGCAACAAACAAACATGACAGTAGCAAAGAGCAGCAATGACCCGACACTGAGTGTTCGGGCTGGGAGTCCTTTTAAAGCACTAATTACCTCATGACCAACAGGTGTCAGCTGCAGGGGAAGCCCTACAGTGCCACCTGTTGGTCCCAAACCGAATCATGACAATAAATCCTTTAATCAAGTAATGTGATCTGTTATCATCCTTAGTGTATGCCAAGTAAATACACTTGTATTTACTTGGCATACACAGCAAAATCGGCGGTTTTAATTCAACACCTATAGAGTTAACTGCATCACTTCAAAAGTGTCTATATTATCCATCCATCCATCCATTTTCCGATCTCCTTCATCCTCACCAGGGTCGCGGGGGTTGCTGGAGCCTATCCCAGCTGTCTTCGGGTAGTAGGCGAGGACACCCTGAAGCGGTTGCCAACCAATCCCAGGGCTCACACTCACAGTAGGGACAATTTAGAGCAGGGGTCCCCAAAACTACGGCCCGCGGGCCGGATCCGGCCGCTACCACATTTGGTCCGGCCCCCCTGAACAATACCACAGAGTCTTTTGATTTATTTTTCATCGATGTGTATTTGTATTTTATCATAAAGTTAGGCTTCTGCAATAAAATATTCCTTATTTCTGAATTTTTTTCATTATTAACTATTGGTTAGTAACTATTTCATAAACTCATATAACGTGACATTTGTTCCATCCTTCTGCGGTCTGTGCCGTTATCTGACAACCCCAGAAAAAAAAATCCTAGACCAGCCCCTCTCAAAGAGAGTGAAATCATGACGAAAAGGTTAGGTTAGAGAAAAAAATGATTCAGAATACAGGGAATTTAACCCAAAGTGGAGAAACGATTTTTTTTTGTTCAATGCAAAGATAAGGCTGGCTGTGTCATCTGTTAGGTGGCAGTGGCGAGATTCAAAGAATATAATCTGCGGAGACACTATGAATCCCATCACAACAACAAGTACGATACTTTGCATGGCCAAATGCCAGCAGACAAACTGTCAATGCCAAACAGAGCAATGTTAGCTCAGCAAAATACATTTGTACGCCAAGCTCAGCTGAACCAGCCATCTGTTCGGGCGAGCTTTCAGTTTGCTCAACTGATAGCAAGCAGCGGGAAACCTTTTACTGATGGAGAGTTTGTCAAGAAATGCATGAGTGCTGTCGCGGAGGTGGTGTGTCCCGAGAAGAAAGACATCTTTAGCACCGCAAGTCTATAAGCGAGTACAATCATTAGAGATATCAAAGAAATCGCGGGTAATGTATACGCCCAGCCGCAGCAGAAGACTAAAGAATTTGAATTATTTTCATTAACATCGGATGAGATCACGGACGAGCAGCACACAGCGCAACTGCTAATTTTTATTCGTGGAGTTAGCGCAAACTTTGAGTTGTGCGAGCAGCTGGCAGCCCTCCAAAGTCTCAAAAGGACTACGATGGGGGAGGAAATTTTGGGCAAAGTGCACCAAACTGTGGAAGAGTTAGACCTGGGCTGGTCAAAGCTGGCCAGCAACACAACAGACGGGGCTCCGAGTACAGTGGGCGCGTCTCGGGGGTCAAATAGGATGCATGAACCAGGAGATGGAAGAACGGAGTTTCAAAATCACTGCCTAATTCACCAGCAAGCACTGTGCTGCAAAGTATTGACTTGGGATTTTGTCATGAAGGTTGTGTTGTCATGCATAAACTTCATCAGAGCAAAGTTGATTATTATTTATTTAATAAATTGTGTAATTTATTTCCTGCCTTTTTTTCTGTGAAAGGGTTATTTCATTATTATTTATTTCATTAATAGTGTTATTATTTATTCCTTGAGTTTTGTTCTGTGAAAAAAAATCCAGAAAAAGTTATTTGATTTGGTGGGGGTTTCTGGAAAACAACACATTTTTACGTTCAGGTACTCTTGCAGTCACACTTTTTCTGTTACAAACTGATCCCTGCCCCCCATCAGAGAAGCGGAAAGTTACGTGGCCCTCACAGGAAAAAGTTTGGGGACCACTGATTTAGAGTGTTCAATCAGCCTGCCGCGCATGTTTATAGATTGTGGGAGGAAATCAAAGCCCACGCAGGCATAGGGAGAACTCCACAAAGGAAGGCCGGAGCCGGCCGGGATCGAACCCACGACCTCTGCACTGTGAGGTTGCCATGCTAACGACTGGACTGCCGGGCCGCCATGTCTATATTAGTCCAGGTAACATAACACTTGTGAAAGTGTTAATTTTTTTAGATGGAGTGTGTAAGAACTCTGATGGTAGTTGATGGTGAGTCTTTATTTTACATGACGCTAGTCAGTGTGTAGTGTTAAAATATGACACCAAGTAATGTTGAACTTCTCAAAACACCCAAAACGAATTGCTTTTATTAACACTAGAAATCAATCCATCCATTTCCCAATCCGCTTATCATCATGAAGGTCATGGGCATGCTGGAGCCTATCCCAGCTGTCTTCAGGCACTGGGCGGGGGACAACCTAAACCAGTTGCCAGCCAATTGCATGGCACACATAGACATACAACCATTCCCACTCACAATCACACCTACGGCCAATTTCAAGTGTTCCATTAAGCTGCCATTCATGTTTTTGGAATGTGGGTTGAAACCAAAGTACCTGGAGAAAACCCAGGCGGGCACGGGGAGAACATGCAAATGCCACACGGGAAGGACGGAGCCAGAATCGAACCCTGCACCCTTGAACTGTGAGGTTGACACACCAACCAGTTGTCCACTGTGCCGCAACACTAGAAATGTTAATATTAACGGAATATATCAGTCGTGAAAGAAAAGCACAACCATTCCTTCTGTTTCAAATCTTTCAGCATCATTAACTGTCGATTTAAATCACTTTTTCAGGTCTTGTGAATGAAAGAGTGTCACTACATGAATATGAATCAAAACAGAATTACAATTTACGGGTGTGTTCCTCAATATTAAGTAAATACAACAATGTTTGTGTATCCCCTTATTGGAACCCAAAGGATTTGCGGTCTCCAAATCGTCATCATGAAGGTGAATCTTAAGAGCATGTTCTTGCTGGTAAAAGTATTCTTTTTGAAGTGAGAAACGTCACATTTATGTTTTTGCCCTAAAAAATATTGTTGGCTACTTTGTTTACGCACATTTGGAAGGGAATGCTGCATGGGGAAGGGAATGCAGATCAGTGAAATGAAGAAGTCCTTTCCAAACTTTTTCTTCTGAAGGCCACATACAGAAAAGGAGAAAGACGCAGAAGTCACTTTTACATTTCTTTTCTGCATTAGCTTATTAACTGGGGGGGGGGGGATACTCAATCAATTATACATTGTATGACAATACTTGAGGATCATTAATGTGATATGTTCACAAATCAGACCTTGAAACCCAGCCGCTGGGGAGCAGTGCCCTCCCCTGGGGGTGCACTGTTCCCCAGTGCCGGTCCCAAGCCCGGAGAAATGGGGAGGGTTGCGTCAGGAATGGCATCCGGCGTAAAACTTTTGCCAAGACGACCATGCGAGTTGGTCGGACGGTTTACAGGGGCGGATGGAAATTACTGACTCGCTGTGGCGACCCCTGAATAGGGACGTGCCGAAAGGAGAAGAAGAAGAAGAAGAAGAAGTTCACAAATCAGACCTTGACACAAAGCAGAAAGTGGGGAGAACTGTTTTATGTTTATGAAACAGATTTTTAATTTTTTTTTTGTTCTCACCGTGTTACAAAGAGAACTTCTCTTACTATTTTAGCTGTGAATGTAATAGTGTCTTTGGATATCTAGAAAAGTTTGATTAGTTGTAGTGGTAGTTCCCGTTACTCACGTCCCCCCACAACTACACTTCTAGTTCTTCCCACCTGCAAACTTTGTTTTTTTTTTTTTTGTTTGTTTGTTTGTTTGTTTGTTTTTTTGTTTTGTTTTTTTAAGTAGCATTGTCATGTCAAAATGTAGTTTTAGTATATGCTGCAAGCTGTTAACAAATGGGTGTTGGGCCGCAAATGGCCACCGGGCCAAAGTTTAGACACCACTGATTTAGAGTAATTAAGTATTTAAAGTATAATACGTAATCGTGTATGCTGCAGACTTTGTTGAATTTGTAAACAGATTACTGAGCAGTCTTCCTTTCTTAAATAGTCATCAGGTGGGTTCTGGAGGTGATTTTAAATTGGGTTTCTAATTTATTCTTATCTGATCCTCAACTGATTTTATTTCTTCTTCGGCCCCCCCGGATATACATGGAGATGCCCGCACACAAAGTCACTTAAACGCATTTGGTCTTTGTCAGTTACTAATGACAACTGCCACCCTGTACAATTTATATAAATGAAACCACTAGAAATAATCCACAGCTAACAATAGTTCAGTGGGCATTTGGTCATGCACTGCCACTGAACCAATACGGTCTATATTCCATGTGATTGTTCCTCTTGACATTCATGAATAAAAATCATCACCTCCCACAATGAGTCAATAAACAACAATGCAGCGTTGTACAGTCAAGT